CGCCGAGCCCGACCGCGAGCGAGTCGCCGAGGTCGTGGCGCAGGCGGCCGACGACGGCCGCGCCGCGCACGTCGCCGTCGAGCCGCCCCGCGGCGCTCGCGAGGAGCGACGCGCGGCGGTTCGTCCGGTCGCCGCCGGCGCCGGCGCCGTTGAGCGCGCCGTCGACGAGCAGGACGACGGCGTCGTCGCCGACGACGGTGCCGCGGCCGAAGCCCGCCGGCAGCAGCACGATGGGCTTCACCGCCGTCGCGGCGACGCCGAGGTAGACCGCGGCCATGGCCAGCATGTCGTCGACGCTCGCGCCGGAGCGCGTCTCCGGCGGCGCGTCGCTCGCTTCGGGGACGACGGTCCAGAGCTTCGTCGCTTCCTTCTCCGCCTTGTTCGTGACTTCGAGGATGCCGGCCATCTCTTGCAGGCAGCGGTCTCGGCAGTGACACTGAGTCGATGCTCTCGATGGCGCTCACTTCAATCTTGGTTCAATATTGGATGCTTCATGTACCTCAAGAGCCGTGGCCTCGGGCTGCCGCCCCGGATCGATCGCCATCATCGTGTCATGGGCCTCGTGCGCTTCGCCAACGGGCGCGTCGTGCGCGGCGACGCGCTCGTCCGCGGCGACGTCTGGAGCCTCGACGGCGTCGTCGTCTGCCCCGAGGCGCTCTACTGGCGCGCGGCCTCGAGCGACGCGCTGGCGCACGACGTCGTCGACTGCGAGGGCTGCATCGTCGCGCCGGGCCTCGTGGACATCCAGACGAACGGCTGCTTCGGCGTCGACTTCGCGAGCCCGCGCGTCGAGGAGCGCGACGTGCGCCGCGCGGCCGCGGCCGTGCTCCGCCACGGGTGCACGGCGCTCGCGCCGACGCTCGTGTCGAGCTCGCGCGAATTATACAGAACGCTGATCCCGCGCTACGCGGCCTGGACCAAGGCGCCGCCCGCGGGCGGCGCGGCGATTTTAGGGCTCCACCTCGAGGGCCCGTTCCTCAACGAGGCGAAGAAGGGCGCGCACCTCGCGGAGAACATCCCGTCGTCGTGCGCCGTCGGCGAGATGGCCGAGCGCTACGGGTCCCTCGACGGCGTCGTCGTCGTCACGCTCGCCCCCGAGCTGCCCGGCGCGCCCGCCGCCATCGCCGACCTCGCGAAGCGCGGCGTCGCCGTGAGCCTCGGCCACAGCCAGGCGACGAAGGCCCAGGGCGTCGCGGGCGTCCGCGCGGGCGCGTCGCTGCTGACGCACCTCTACAACGCCATGCCCGCCTTCCACCACCGGGACCCGGGCCTCGTCGGGCTCCTGGGCCTCGCGGAGCACGACCGGCGCCCCTACTACTCCATCATCGCGGACGGCATCCACGCGGACCCCGCGTCCGTCGCCATCGCGCGCCGCGCGCACCCGGGCGGCGCCGTGCTCGTCACCGACGCCATGGCCGCCATGGGTTTAGGGGACGGCGACCACACGCTCGGCGACGACGTCCAGGTCACGGTCCGCGGGCTCCGCGCGACGGTCAGAGGCACGGACACGCTCGCGGGCGCGGTCGTGTCGCTCGACGAGTGCGTGCGCCGCTTCGCCGAGTTCACGAACTGCGGGCCCGCCGCGGCGCTCAACGCCGCGTCGGCGCACCCGGCGGCCGTGCTCGGCGACGCGACGCGCGGGTCTCTCGACGTGGGCAGGCGCGCGGACGTCGCGCTCTTCGACGACGACCTCCGCCCCGTCGCGACCTACGTCGCGGGCGCCAAGGCCTGGGGGCGCGACGAGGCGGATAAACAAGGGGCTTAGGATTGTCACACGATACTCCGCACTTCGGCGAGCGCGGACGCCTCATCGACGGGGCCATGCCGTCCCGGGCCCCCACAAAAGAAAACGGAGCGTTATGAAAACGGGCGGCGGGGGCACTAGTAGAAAGCAGGGGGTGCCGGACGGAAGGCGGCTGGTCGTCGGTAGCGGGGGGTATCACACGGAGCCGCGGCGGAGCGGGTTCATGCGCGGCGGGCGGATCATCTCGCCGGAGCCGTGGACCTGGGGCCGCATGGAGACGACCTGCTCCAGCGACGCCGAGGGCCGGCGCTGGGCCTTGCCCTTGCCGCGGAAGGACGCGGACCGGCGCTGGCCCGGCCGGTCTTTGTCCTTGCGCGGGTTGTGCGGGTTCGTGATCTCGTTCGAGCTCGCGGCGATGCGCCGCGCGACGCCGATGTCGAGCGGCCGCAGCGACGCGTTGTTCATGAGGCCCAGGCGCGCGGCCATGGACCGGAGGTGGAAGTAGTAGGTCGCGTACTCGGACGCGGTCACCGTCGCGTTGAAGCCGTAGGCCGCGAGCAGCGCGGTCTCGAGCCTGGGCAGCGAAATGGTGATTCAACGTCGCTTCAACGTGGGTGTTCCTTGCGCGCGCGTTCCGACAAAAGCATCCACGCTGCGAGACCGTCACGAGAGATGATCGCTCGTCCAAGAATCAGCCGAAACGAGTGGAAAACGGCCGAGATCGGAGCCTTTGAAGTTGGGAATGTCGCTCTCTTTTGCTGCGCGGTCTCGAGCTCGTTGATGCGCGATAGCGTGAAGTCGGAGCAGACGTAGCACCAGTCCGCGTTCAGCGGCGACTCGTCGTCGCAGACCTTGGAGGCTAGAATCATCGTCGAGAAGACGACGGGCCGCCAGTTGTCGCCGCCGAGGCGGAGCGCGCCGCCCTTGGACCGCAACAACCGCTCGACGAAGATGAGGGCCGTGACGATGCACTCGACGTGCATCTCGCCGCGCTTGAAGACCATCTTGAAGAACTCGGTCATCTCGCCGAGCGACGGCAGGTAGCCCGCGAGCTCCTCCGCGTTCGCGGACACGTCGAGGAAGACCCGGAGCTTCTGCTTCTCGCTCGACGGCCGCCGGCCGCCGGGCTTGGGCGCGGGCGACGCCATGTGGGCGTGGAGCACGCGGCAGACGCACCGGATCATCGCGTGGATGTCCGGGTCCGCCAGCGTGCTGTCGATGTGCATCGTGTTCGTGCTGTTCGTCGACGTGAGCGACCTGGGCAGGACAAGAGAGATTCAATGTCGCTTCAACGTGAGTGTTCCGCGCGCGCGCGTTCCTGAAAAAGCACCCACGCTTCGAGATCGTTCCAAGAGATGATCGCTCGTCCAAAAATCAGCCGAAACGAGTGGAAAACGGCCGAGAGAGGAGCCTTTGAAGTTGGGAATTTCGCTCTCTTGTCCTGCCCTGTGAGCGACGGCCGCCGCTTCGTGCCCGTCGACGCGGCCTTGGCGAGCGCGGGCGCGTGCTCGAGGATGATGGGCGCCTCCGCGGGCCGCGCGCGCGGCGCCGACGCCGCGCCGGACCCCGCGGCCGCGTCGCGCTGCTTCGCGAGGGAGTCGAGGAACGAGTCGTCGACGGACGACACCGCGCGGAGCTGCTGCTTCGGCGTCGAGTCGACGGAGCCCGTGCCGCTCTTGCGGTGCGCGCGCGCGCCGTCGTCGGGCGACTGTTCGACCTCGACGGAGATCATGCCCTTGGCGAAGTTCCGCCGCATGTTGCGCTCCATCTCGTCGAAGAACGCGCGCTGCGTCCGCTTGTGCTCGCGCTCCTTCTCGCCGTCGCTCGACTCGCCGCTCTCCTTGCGCGACCGCCCCTGCCGGTCCGTGACGGACGGCTCGGACCCGCTCTTGGGCCGCCGCTCGCCGTCGCCCGCGGGCGCGACGCCGACCTTGCCGCTGCCCTTGCGCGACCCCATCGTGAACGTCGCCGGCCGCGACCGGCCCGCGTCGGCGTCGTGGGGCGCCACGGCCTGGCCCGTCGCGCGCCGCGGCGTGCCGAAGACCTTGAAGCCCTTGAATTTGAAGAAGCTCGACAGGCCCTTGCGCTTCTTCCCGCCGCTGTCGCCGCCGGACGGCTCGACGCTGAACTCGACCTCGTCCCCGGCGGACGCCATCGGCCGGGCTGCCCCGCGGGCGGCGCGCCCCGACCGAGCTGCCCCGGGACGCGGCGCCGCTCGCGGGCTGCGCTCTGCGGGCCGCGCGCCGACCTGCCCCTGGGCGCGGTGCCACTCCGGGCTGCTCTCGGCTGGAGCTCCGGCTGGATCTAATAGAGCTGGATCCGACGGCGGTTGTTGCCGCGCACTTGTCGTGAGGTCGACTGCTCGATGTTCGTGTTGCTGCAGTCTGTGAAGAGAGAGTCAAGCGAGAGCCGGCTCGATCTGAGAGTGTAGCCTCTGGCACTTGGCGGGGCGTGTCCGCAGGCGGCGTCGCTCGCGCCCCCCCTCAAAATTCGCACCATGGCGGAGGGCACGCTCCGAGGCAAGAAATCGAAGCGGCACCAGGAGCACGTGGAGAACGCCGCGGCCTGGCGCAAGCGCCTCGCCATCGGGGACGGCCCCGCCGCCGAGGCCTTCGACGCCGCCTTCATGAACCTGCCCGACGACGCGCGCGACGCGGCGCCGCCGCCCAAGGACGGCGGCCGGTGCCCGCACTGCCGCAAGAAGATCGAGCTCGACACGCACTACAAGGCCATGTGCAACGGGTTCTGCGACACGGCGAAGCGCGGGTCCAAGTCCGGCTGCGTGAGCAAGGTCGTCGCCCTCTGGAAGTCGCTGACGACGGAGGAGGAGCGCGCGAAGGCGCTCGGCGCCGCGCCGGCGTCGGGGCCGTCGTCGTCCCGGGAGAGCAGCTCGGGCATCGTCGGCCTGTCGAGCTCGTCGTCGGTCTGCGCGCCCGTCGCCGAGGCCGCGCCGGCGAAGCCCCGGTGCCTGCGGACCTTCGACAGCGGCGAGCGCTGCAGCGGCGACGCCCTGCCGACGACGTCGTACTGCAGCCGCCGCTGCGAGGGCTCGGAGGCCGCGCGCGTCGCGAGGTTGGCGAAGATGGTCGCGGACGAGGCCGCCGCGGACGAGAAGCCCGCGCCGGACGAGAAGCCCGCCAAGGCCGCCGCGCCGCGGCGGCCCAAGGCGAGCGCGAGCCTCGGCTCCATGCTCGCCGGCCTGAAGAAGGAGCCCCCGAAGCCCAAGGCCGAGCCCAAGCCCGAGCCGCCGCGGCCCGCGAGCCCGCCGCCGGTGCCGCGCGCGCCCGCGCCCGCGGCGCCGCCGCCGCCGAGGCAACACAGGCAGGCGCCCGTCGCGCCGCCGCCGCCGAGGCAACACAGGCAGGCGCCCGTCGCGCCGCCGCCGCAAAGGCAGGCGCCCGTCGCGCCGCCGCCGAGGCAGGCGCCCATCGCGCGGCCGCCGCCGAGGCAGACGCCGCTCGCGGAGCTCGAGGCCTTCGTCGTCGGCGTCATCGGCGAGAAGTACTGGCCCAACTTCGTCGACGAGGAGATCGACGACATCGGCACGCTCCGCCTGCTGACGGTGTCCGACTTCGCGGACATGCAGATCCCGCTCGGCCCGCGGCTCAAGCTCATGAAGGCCCTCGAGGCGCGCTGAGCTTAGGCCGCGACCCCCCGTTACTCCTGCTCGAGCGTCGCGGCGTGGACGTAGGGCGCCGCGCCCGAGAGGTCGTCGACGACGCGCGCCGCGTGGTCCGCGTTCGCCGCGTCGAGGAGCGCGCGCTCGCGCGCCTCGTCGACGACGAACCAGCCGTTGACCGCGAGGCGCCGGCCCGCGGCGTACTCCGTGACGGGGCTGACGAAGTGGTGCGACGCGTCGGAGACCTTGAAGAGGTACAACGTGTTGAACGTCGCCGGCATGGTGGCGAAGGGCGCGCACCAGACGAGGTCGCCGCCCCAGGCCGCGTCCCAGTCCTCCGATAAGTGCCACACGAACGCGACGTGGCGCCCGCCGCCCGCGTCGCTGTGGGGCGCGCTGTAGTCGCCGCTCCGGTACCAGGACGCAGAGACGATGACCCGGCCGTCCTCGCCCGTGACGCGGCGGAACCAGGCCGCGCCCTGGCGCTGGAACCAGTCCGCCGCGCGGACGTAGGCGGGGCACGCGCGCTCGAAGAGCGGCGCGCGCGCGTAGAGGTTGTGGTGCCGGTACTGGAAGCCGGGGGCGCAGCGGCGGTGGAGCGACCAGCAGACGTCCGGCAGCGCCGCGAGGCCGTCGCGGAGCGCCCGGGCCGTCCCGTCCGCGAACGCGGCCTCGACGCGGACGAGGCGCCCCGCGGCGAGCGCCGCGGCGACGGCGCCGTCGCCGACCCACGCGCCGACGTCGAGCGGCGGCGCCGGGGGCCGCGCCTTGGCCGTCGCGAGCCAGCGCTCCGCGTCGGCGATGGCCGCCGCCTCGGCCTCCGCGCGCGCGGCCTCGTCGTAGACGAGGGGCTTCGGCGGCGCGCGCGCGCCCGCGCGCTTCAGCTTGAGCGCCGCGACGCGCTCCGCGGCCGTCGGCGCGCGCGGCGCCGCCGCGGGCTTGGCCGCCGCGGCCGCGGTCGGCGGCGGCGGCGGCGGCTCCCAGTTCTTGAGCTCGGGCCAGGGCCGCCGCGGCGCCGCGGCGAGCGCCTTCGCGCGCGCCTCAAGATCGGCCCACTTGCAGGTCTTCGCGAAGGTCGCGTGGTCGATCTTCGCCTTCGTCGCCGCCCCCAGGGCCAGGTGCCCCAGGGCGCGCCGGTAGCGGATCTTGTCGCGGATGCGCCGCTCGTCCGGCGACGCGGAGACGCCGACGCCGCCGCCGAGCGCCTTGAGCGCGGCGCCGCAGTCGCCGACGGCCTCGGCGAAGGCGCGCCGCTCGAGCTGCGCCGCGGCCCGGTTGCTGTGGAGCGTCGCGCGCTCGAGGGCGAGGGGCGCCGGATCCTCGAGCGCGCGGTCGTAGCAGGCCCTGGCGCCGTCGAAGTCCCGTCTCGCGAACGCGGCGTTGCCCCGCGCGCGCCAGCCCTCCCAGCCGTCGGGCGCGGGCTCCGGGTCGTCGGACGCGTCGGCGGGCGGCAGGTCCGCGTCGGGCTCCGCCGCGTCGACGACGCAGAGCGTCAGCGTCGCGCCCCTGGGCAGCTTCGCGAGCGTGTCGCCGACCGGCGCGAACTTGTGGTACGGCTCAAAGTCGCCGCCGTCCTCGCGGCCGCCCGGCGCGAGCGCGGCCACGTCCGCGGCGCCGTAGGCCTCCGACGCGTCGACGCGCTTCGCCACGTCGCGCCGCAGGTCGCCGACGACGTCGCGGACGTGCCAGGCCGCCATGTCCGTCTTGATCTCGAGGTCCAGGGCCATGCGCCGCCCGCTCGGCAGCTCCGCGACGACCTTGAGGTCGAGGCCCGGCGGCTCGACGCCGTGGCCCTTGGGCGCGCCGCTCAGGTAGGGCTCGAAGTTGGGGATCATGGCTGGCTGCCCGCGAAAGTGGCCTATCGTGGGCTTTCGAAGGGCTGCATTTATAAAGTTGAGGAGCAAAGGTGTCTTCATCATTAACTTGGGCATTGATCTCTCATTGAATGTGAGACATCGTGTGACGGGCAGCGCCTCTCCAAATCGGGAGCGCGCGTCCGCCGTCGTCGGCACGCGTTCGGTGCAACGCCGGTCGACGAGCCGCGTTTCAGCGCCCGTCCCGGCTTCGCGTGCGGCAGGGGCAGCCCCGATGGGTGGCGGCGCCAGCAAGAAGAAGGAGGCCTACGCCGCGCCGGCGAAGGAGGCTCCGGCGGAGGCGCCGCCGGTCGAGTCGCCGGGCGCGCGCCGACGGAGCAGCCTGACGCTCGCGAGCCAGAAGAAATTGGCCGCCGCCGGAGCGCTCGAGGACGGCGACTACGAAACCGCCGCCAAGTGCTACTCGGAGGCGATCGAGCTCTGCCCCAAGGACGACAGCTCCCTGGGCATCTACTACTCGTCGCGGGCGCGCCGCGGCGTCCGCCCCCGTCGCGGCGAACCATCGCCTCGCGCGCCCTCGTCCCAGCGCCGCGACGCCGCAGGCGAGCTGCTACGCGAACCTGGGGAAACACGCCGAGGCCGCCGCGGACTGCGAGGAGGCGATCAAGGCGACCAAGTTCTACCTGCCGGCCTGGCGGCTGCTCGGCAAGTCGCGCCTCGCCCTCGAGGAGTACGACGCGGCCAAGGCCGCGTGCGAGTACGCGCTCAAGCTCGACGACACGGACGCGGAGTCGAAGGCGTGCCTCGACGACGTCCTCAAGGCGCTCGGCGGCGCCCCGGCGGCGGAGACGCCCGTCGAGGCGGTGCCCGCCGAGGCGACGCCGGCGGTGGACGCCGCGCCGGAGACGAACTAAGCGGCGTCGTTAGAGCGCCGCGTGCTTCGCGCGCTGCCGCGCTCGTCGGCGGGCCTTCTTCGCGTCGACGGCGTAGGCGAACGCGGCGCCCGGCGCGTCGTCGGTCATGGCCGCGTCGGCGCCGTCCGCGGCCGCGGCCGGCGCGGCGTCGGCGGCCGGCTCCGCGGGCTCGGCGGGCCGCGAGAGCTCCTTGAGCGCCGTCGTGAGCGCCTTGCGCTCGCCGCGCGTCGCCGTCGACGCCTTGGGCATGGCCAGCCGCTGCTTCTTGATCGACGCCTTCTCGTCGCGCAGCGCGCGCTTCGCCGCCACCTTCTCGGCGTGCTTCTGGCGGCCCGTCAGCGGCGCCGCGCCGCCGGGCGACCCGGCGTCGACGACCATCATCGACTCCGCATCGCACCGCTTGCCGAGAAGAGCCTTGCTCTTGGTGCTGCGCTTCTTCTTGGCGGCGGCCTTGCCGGCCTTGCCCATTGCTGCTTCGAGAAGCTGGCAGCAGGGCGAGGCGGCGTGCCAGATCGCCAAGACATCGTGACGGCATCTTGCCGTGCTGAACACGCGTTGGTCGAAGACCCGTCGCGGCGCGGCGGCGTGCGCGGGAATTTTCTTTTCGCCTTACTCCCCGCGGAGGAGTGGTCGGTCGTCGCGGCCCTCCTTGAGCGGCAGGTGCGCGACCGGGTCGACCCACGTGTAGCCGTAGGGCACGGCGAGGTTCTGGAGGGCCTGGACGAGGAGGAAGCCCGCGGCGACGGACGCGCCCGCCTTCCAGGACGCGAGCAACGGCCCGTCGTTCGAGTAGACGCTGAACTGGGAGAAGTCGTGGGACGTGAGGCGCGTCGGCGTCGTGGCCACGAACCTACGAAAAGCGCGATCGCGCGAGGACGCGTCCGCGGATCGGGCGCCGCGCCCGGCATGGCCTCGGCCCCGGCGATGGCGAGCGCGAGACTCGCGTCGTGGTAGACCTTGAGGCCGTTGTTCGGCGCGTCGTCGTACGCGAGGCGGCCGCATCGGAGCGCGGCGAAGAAGACGACGCCGGAGA